TCGGCTGGTTTTTCCCTGTATACGTCGATTGACAGATGTCTCGTCCAGTCAGCGGTGAGTAATCCCAAACCAATGGCGCTGTCTCAAACTATACCTACCTCTTCCGGTTTGTCTGATTTGTCGTTGTGTTTTCTGACTTGTTAATTTGTTTTCGGATTTGTCGTTGTGTTTTCTGACTTATTTTGTTTTCGAATTTGTCGTGTTTTCTGACGTCTTATAATGTTTTCTGAATTGTTGTTGTGCTTTCTGAATTGTTATTTTGTTTTTTAGACTTGCATTTGCGTTTGTAATTTGTTATTTTGTTTTCAGAATTGTGATTTGCTCTGCACTTCTCGGCCACCATAGTCAAGCCTCAAAAACTACAAAAAAGAACATAAAGTGGCCCAATACTTGTCTGCCAGCCTGGCATGAAATGTCGTTACTTTCAGCGGATATTTTCTGTTAATACAACACAAATCTCTTTGATTTTTGGAGCTTGACGGCCTTATTCCTTATTCATTTTCATCGTAAGAAAAACAGCAGTATCTCTTCTTGAGTTCCAGTGAAGAGATAAAAGTCATGAAGGTTTGGAACAACATGAGGGCAGGTAAATGATTTATTTACTTTTGTTTTTCATTTTTGGACCAGCTATCTCTTGGATGCATAGAGCAGTGATGACTGAAGACATTTATGTGATGACTCACCTTTTTCGGGGTCATCAGGCAAACCGTTACGTTTCTCTAGAGAAAGCCAGAAACAGAGAAGCATTAAAAGTCTCAGATAGAAACCATTCATTGTTAGACGCTTAAAAAGTCGGACACAATCTCCTTTTCTCTCCGCCCCATGAAAGATCTGATCTGTCCGCTTTTAGAAAGAAAGAGCTTGCGCTTGGGAAGATCTGAAGATTGCTCTGTAATCAACATGGTGACAATTGGACTTCGATTCTGCTCTCCCTTTCATGCCGTTCACTAGGGAGCGTCTCTTGGTTTTGAACCTCAGCTAAGACTCTGTCATAATAGCACTGACAAAAACATGTTGCCTCTCGTTTTGTCCAGCGGCTTCGTTTGAAAAGGCGTGGAACACACACACTCATTCACCCACACACACACACACACAACATGTGCAAAATTGCAACCAAAGCTGCCACAAGAGATATGATTTAAAAGCGGGTGTTAACATCTAAAACCTCAGTTGCAAATGGGCGGCCTTCCACAAACGACATTCTGCGGTTTCTCAATAGCTTCATTAAAAAGGACACAGACAACACTCCACAATGTGTAGACCATGCCTTCGCAAGGCCTATAAGACTGGTTATGACATGCACCTCACCATTTGTACTATGTTGCGCTGACGTTGTCAACGCTGTCGTAGTTGTCGTTACTGTTGTTTTTGTAGATGTGGGACACGGCGGGGGCTCGCAATCCTCGGCATCTCTTGACGAATTGGCAGTGTAGAAAAAGTCCTCCACAAATTCAAAATACTTTGCCGTAAGCCACATCTCATTTACGTAGTGACAATCGAATTCTAGCATTGAATCCTCCTGATGAATCAGAAAAAAATGGTTTCGATTTACAAGTGGATCATTTGTTGCAATGCTTTACTTAAAAATAATAAAAAAATGAATAGTTTTTTTTAAAACATTTTGAATAGAAATATGAATAAATAGAAAAAATTAATTATTCAAAATTAATAATAGTTTTATAAACCTTGCTCACTGGTTGCAATGTTACTTAAAACGAATACAAATAAATAGTTTAAAAAATAGTTTTAAATAAAAATATAAATTTAAGTAAAAAATAAAAGATATATATATATATATATACATTTTAATAATAAATATTCATTTTATAGAAATTATTTACAACTATAATTGAAAAAGAAATTAATAAAACCTTAATAAAACATACCAGATTTTGCACTGCTTTACAAGATGAATAGTTAGTTTCTTGTTCATCGGTTACAATGTTTTACTTCTAAATAAATAAATAAATCAATATTTTTATTTATTTTAAACTATTAAAAAAAAAGAAATTAGGGAACGTTGCAGATTGTACTGTTTTTTTCCAAATCGTTTTACAAAAGTTCCTCAGAGAAAGCCAGAAACAGAGAAGCATTAAAAGTCTCAGATAGAAACCGTTCATTGTTAGATGCTTAAAAAGTCAGAAACAATCTCCTTTTCTCTCCGCCCCATGAAAGATCTGATCTGTCCGCTTTTAGAAAGAAAGAGCTTGCGCTTGGGAAGATCTGAAGATTGCTCTGTAATCAACATGGTGACAATTGGACTTCGATTCTGCTCTCCCTTTCATGCCGTTCACTAGGGAGCGTCTCTTGGTTTTGAACCTCAGCTAAGACTCTGTCATAATAGCACTGACAAAAACATGTTGCCTCTCGTTTTGTCCAGCGGCTTCGTTTGAAAAGGCGTGGAACACACACACTCATTCACCCACACACACACACACACAACATGTGCAAAATTGCAACCAAAGCTGCCACAAGAGATATGATTTAAAAGCGGGTGTTAACATCTAAAACCTCAGTTGCAAATGGGCGGCCTTCCACAAACGACATTCTGCGGTTTCTCAATAGCTTCATTAAAAAGGACACAGACAACACTCCACAATGTGTAGACCATGCCTTCGCAAGGCCTATAAGACTGGTTATGACATGCACCTCACCATTTGTACTATGTTGCGCTGACGTTGTCAACGCTGTCGTAGTTGTCGTTACTGTTGTTTTTGTAGATGTGGGACACGGCGGGGGCTCGCAATCCTCGGCATCTCTTGACGAATTGGCAGTGTAGAAAAAGTCCTCCACAAATTCAAAATACTTTGCCGTAAGCCACATCTCATTTACGTAGTGACAATCGAATTCTAGCATTGAATCCTCCTGAAGAATCAGAAAAAATGGTTTCCATGTACAAGTGGATCATTTGTTGTGATGATTTACTTATAATAAAAATGAATAGTTTAAATAGAAATTTGAATAAATAGAAAAATAAATTATACAAAAATCAATTGTAATAATAAATATTCATTTAATAAAATATTTAAACTATTCTTGAAAAAAAAAAATCGTAAAACCTTAATAAAACATACCAGGTTTTGCACTGCTTTACAAATGAATGAATTATTTTTCCAAGTGGTTTTACAAACCTTGCCCATTGGCTGCAATTTTTACTTAAAAATAAGAAAAATAAACATTAAACAAAATTATAAAAATATAAATTTAAATAAAAATAAAAGATAAATATATACATTTTAATAATGAATATTAATTTTATATAATTTTTAAAAACATTTTATTGAAAAAGAAATGAATAAAACACACCATAAATAAATAAATAAATGTTTTTTTTTATTGAAGTCCGTTTAAACTATTTTTGATAATGAAATTAAGACCTAATTAAGACCTTTTGTACCGTTTTTTTTCCAAATCGTTTTACAAAAGTTCCTCAATTACTGTGTTATTTTTATAGCTGACAAGACAAACTTGTAACTCAAAACAAAACAAAACATACTAGATATGTCAAGATTTCTGCATGAAACACACTTGTTATTGTAATTACTTGGTTGAGGTAACTTACCAAGCCATGTCCAATGTGATACCGCATCTCTTGCAGTATTTGAACAAAAGTGCCTATATTATCTTTATTGGAGGATATGTTCCCAAACTTCTGTGCCAGGCCTTTTAAGCTCACCTCCAAGTGAAATACGTTTAGCTTCACCCAGCACATACCACTCTTGAAGAAAAACAAAAGACATTACTAGATTATCACCATGTTTGCTTTTATTACCGTGAACGATTCAATGAAACTGAATAATAACAACTCACCACTTCTTTAGGTATATAACGTAATGTAATCTTGTAGTCTTTTGGAATATTCTGTTTCTAATAGGAGAGAAGAAAAGCCGGTTCTAAGTGCCAAAAACTACAATGCACATGGTAATTTCATCATCGATAAAGATTCAAAAATTTAACTTTACCAGTATATAACCACAATGTAAACATGGAATTACTCTAATTTGCTTTATAACCTTGGCTAAGGTATAGCTATGGAAGCCGCAAACATATGTACTTCAAAAGATTTTAATGACTGGTTATTAACCTTTCAGCATATGGCACGCACGGTGATTTGGCATCATACTTCGTAAATATTTTGCTAAAGAAAAGCAAATGCCATTACACAACATGTTCCAACAAAGTGATAAACTCAATAATCCTTTCAGGTTGATGATCCTAAAAAGACTGTCTGGAGCGAAGCATTTGTTTTATGTATATGACTCTATTATCATACTTTGAACCACATGTCTGGGGCTTTCATTCCAACACACATGAAATAAATTTCAGCTCTTTCCCCCCAGAGCATCGGTAAATCAGCCTTCGCTGTTGTCTTTCACAAAATGCGCTGGGAAAAAAGCGGCACTGGAGAGATAAGAATGTCCGAGCTCTTACCAACAAATAAATTTTCTTGATGTCATCTGTAATGGGATTTCCTATTTCACTGGAATAGGCAGCAACTGTCATGTACAGCAATAAATGGACACAGGTGCATATCCAAATCTGAAAAACAAGAGGTAAAAGATCAGTCTAATTGATCGTATCGAAAATCTTGTAATAACACAGATCTGCTTGTGTCCTAATTTCTAAGCTCATTGTTTGGAGGAGTATTAGGCAAAACGGAAAATGTTTTCACTGCTATTTTGAGAACAACCGGGTCAGTTTTGATAGAATAAATGAGCGTTTTTGTCTAGCAAAGTCTCCTTCCCATCCGCCGCTATAAAGCTTGTTGTCCCATGGTGGCTTAGAGCTTAAAGCTTTTGCTCCCCTCTTCCCAGACCTGCGATTTGAGCTTGTTGCATAACATGAGGCAGATTTGCTCTTAACCCTGCTTACTAGGGTGATCCCAGACAAACAATGCATGAGCCTTGTCGGGAGAAACGGGCCAGCGATTGAAAGAGAGGGGGAGCGGAGCAGAGGTGAAGAGCAGACTCATCTGAGGACAGGCTGTTTAGCTGCGATATGCTCCGAGTGTGTAATTGCACAATTACAAAATTGATGCTCTGCATTTACATATTTTCAGAAATTAGGCTGGTTTTGGGATCACGTGACCACGATCGGATGCGTTTCTCGTGAGGCATTTACATTCAAAAGCAGCGACAGCACAATGTTTTTAAAGTCTCATTTTCAAAGTCAACATGAATGAAACTTTTCATGAATAATGTATGTTTCTGGTCTTATTCCCTGATAGCACACGTACATCTCGGAGACGTCTATTTGATGTCTGCATTTATATCTGCAAGACATATAAATTTATATCTGCATATGACATATATGAGAGTTTGCTCATCTGCAATACGTCTGTAGGACGTTTCCTTTTAGATGTCAAATAGACGTCTATTAGATGTCTTTAAGATGTTTATGATTTAGAATGGATGTAAAACTGACATCTGAAAGACGTCTCTCAGACGTTTGTAGACAGCAGATGCTTTCCAGATCAAAAGACCTTTAACAGACATCTTGCAGACGTACGTGTGCTATCTGGGTTGTAAAAGATTCATCAGTGTATGCTATTCCAAAGTTCAGTTTTACATTAAAATGTAATAATTTTCTTACATAATTTTGTGCAGACTGTTTAGCCGTTGTTTTAGCAAACTAGCATTCAATTTAGCTGTTGTTTTAGCAAACTTGCAGTCTAGTCTTTGTTTTAGCAAACTAGCATTCTGTTTAGCTGTTGTTTTAGTTCATTAACACTTTATTTATTCCTTTAGCAAACTATTTGCATATTACAGGGCTGTACGTTAACTTTTTTTTTCACATAGCACTGGTGCTACAGAGGTTGAAAGTTTTGTAGCACAGGCCAAAACGTTGTAGCACACGTATAAAACGTCTGTTATCATGTCTGAAAACAAACACAAGTAATGGAGTTCATCACTTAAACAGGCACTAATGTTCCATACAGAGCACAAAAAATACAAACCATCACAAAAATTGTTTTAGACAAAGTTTTCTTAATTTGCTAAAAATGCAAGAGTGCAGAAACATAACACCTCTTACACCTTAACAAAATATAAAATAAAAAACAATGGCAGACATTTTGGCAAAGTTAGCAAAGATAAAAATCTTTGTCATTATTTTATCTTTGTTATTAGAAAATAAGAAAATTTTTCAGGTACAGTATTTAGCAGTAAAATTCAAGAAATTGAATGTACAAATATTAAAATAAAACACTATATACACTGTGTTATGAACATGCAAAATTGTATCGCACCCGTGCTACAGTGGTAAATTTATGCATCGCACAGACCAGTTTTTTTGTAGCACGTGCGACATATATGTCGCACTGTACAGCCCTGTATTAGCACTTTATTTATTCATTTAGCAAACTAGCATTCTATTTCGCTATTGTTTTAACAAACTAGCATTCTGTTTAGCTATTGTTTTAGTAGCACTTTATTCCTATAGCAAACTAGCATTCTATTTTGCTGTTGTTTTAGCAAACTAGCATTCTGTTTAGCTATTGTTTTAGTAGCACTTTATTCCTATAGCAAACTAGCATTCTATTTTGCTGTTGTTTTAGCAAACTAGCATTCTGTTTAGCTATTGTTTTAGTAGCACTTTATTCCTATAGCAAACTAGCATTCTATTTTGCTGTTGTTTTAGCAAACTAGCATTCTGTTTAGCTATTGTTTTAGTAGCACTTTATTCCTATAGCAAACTAGCATTCTATTTTGCTGTTGTTTTAGCAAACTAGCATTCTGTTTAGCTATTGTTTTAGTAGCACTTTATTCCTATAGCAAACTAGCATTCTATTTTGCTGTTGTTTTAGCAAACTAGCATTCTGTTTAGCTATTGTTTTAGTAGCACTTTATTCCTATAGCAAACTAGCATTCTATTTTGCTGTTGTTTTAGCAAACTAGCATTCTGTTTAGCTATTGTTTTAGTAGCACTTTATTCCTATAGCAAACTAGCATTCTATTTTGCTGTTGTTTTAGCAAACTAGCATTCTGTTTAGCTATTGTTTTAGTATATTAGCACTTTATTTATTCCTTTAGCAACTAGCATTCTATTTCGCTGTTGTTTTAGCAAACTAGCATTCTGTTTAGCTATTGTTTGAGTATATTAGCACTTTATTTATTCCTTTAGCAAACTAGCATTCTATTTCGCTGTTGTTTTAGCAAACCAGCATTCTGTTTCACTGTTGTTTTAGCAAACTAGCATTCTGTTTAGCTATTGTTTTAGTAAATTAGCACTTTATTTATTCCTTTAGCAAACTAGCATTATATTTTGCTGTTGTTTTAGCAAACTAGCATTCTATTTAGCCATGTTTTAGCAAACTAGTATTCTATTTAGCTGTTATTTTAGCAAAATAACATTTTATGTAGCTGTTATTTTAGCAAACTAGCATTTCATTAGGTATTGTTTTAGCAAGCTAGCATTCTATTTGGCTGTTGTTTTAGCAACCTAGCTTTCTATTTACCTGCTGTTTTAAAAAACTAGCATTCTATTTAGCCATTGTTTTAGTAAGTTAACATTCTATTTAACTGCTATTTTTGCAAACTAGCATTCTGTTTAGCCGTTGTTTTAACAAACTAGCTTTTAGCTCCATGCTGGTACAAAATGTCCACTTTTTATTGTTCAAAATAAAACTAAATAAAATCGCCCACTAAGCTTTTTCTCATTAGTGGATATCCTGATTCTCTCAGAATGTCACATTAAGTAAAATATTTTGCAAACCACAATTTACTTTGACTTTAAAAGTCAAAGACATTTATAAAATGCAAAGCTAGTGACAGGATATTCAAGAAAAAATCTTAAAAACTCAATATACCAAACATATTTCACCTAATTATGAATGATTGGAGTAGGGGTGCTTCAAAGGTGATGAATTTACAAACTGAATAAAAACAGTATAAAAGTTAATGCTAGGCAGGTCATAAGCTTTTAAAGCAAATCTACAAATGTATAATATATAGCCTAATAAATGATGCAATAGTTTTGATTTCCCCATTACGAGTTTCCAAAATGTATCTTCTTTCCAACCAGCTCTTCTAAAAATATTCTTCCTGGTTAAACAGGGCATGTTTATTTGCATCGAACTATAAATAAGACTGGCCTCATGTAAATGCTTAGGTCTTGCTTTGAATGAATGGATTGCAATATATAATTCAAAGTAAACAATGCTAGTACACATGGCGGCATCTGGAATTTAGTATGCACTCAAACAAGCAGTTAATCTATTGCGAGTATTTCAGACAGCATCACCAGGGACTGTAGAGATCTCTTGCGTCTTGTGAACCAGATGAGGATTTGTTGAAATTTGATGAATGAAACAACACATGGAAGCCCAGATGTTTCATTGGTTATATTATCCATAATTTGACTTCCTTCAAGACTTTAAAGTACCTTCATAGCCAAGAACTATGATTTCAGCAAGTACTTTGGACACAACAACAACCATCTGTCTGTCTCCTATTTAAACGTCAACAATTCAAACTCACTTGTGCTCAAATTCAGCTCTAACTGCCATAAATCAATAGACTGTAAGCAAAGCCAACCACTCAACTGATCAACTGAACAACATGTTACTCCCAAACCATTGGCACGAGCTGCCTACATAGGCAGCTTTTAAGGCATTATAGGTGTGTGAAGGTGCAGGCATCTCCTAAATGCTGTCTCCTATAATACGTGGTAAATTGTAGAGTATATAGTTACATATTAGTGAACCCTATCCCAGAATGCACTAAAATTAGCTTTGTCTATAACTCATTTATCAAGTAAATACAAAATAAAAATTAATTGCTACCCGATATATCACAAATGCAACTTTGTTTCTCATAATTGTGCCTCAATGCCACAATTGCAATTATTTTCCTCATAACTGCAACTTCATTTCCTGCAATGTTACTCTACACACCACATTTTCTCCCTCATAATTACAACTGCATATCCTGCAACACGACCTTGTTTATCATAATTGTGACTTTATATCTCACAATGTGCCCCTATATTATATCGCAACTTCAATTTTTTCCCCACATAACTGCGACTTTATATCCTGCAGTGTGACTTTATAACTCACAAATGCGACTGTTTCTCATAATTGTGATCTTGTATTTCACAATGTGACTTTGCATCTATGACGTGCAAATGCAACTTTTTTCCTCGTAACAGCGTCTTAATATCCCGCAACTTTATATCTCACAATTGCAGCTTTGTTTCTCACAATTATAAAGTCACATTGCAGATATAAAGTCACAGAGACATAAATTTTGTCAGGCTTTGATAGGACATTGTACAGACTGCTGTATTATAAACACAAAGAAATCTTGAAAGTGTTAGCTTGCTACAACACGTCAAATGAGAGGTCACTTTCATTTAGCCAGACAAAGGAGATGTGAAGCAGAGCAAGATCTCATTATGGCTGACTATGAGCTGGACTGACCACCAGCAGAGAGAAAAAGAGAGCGACAACTCAACCCTCCCTTTTGAACATCATGTTAACAGCAGCTCTCAGGGGGCAGTCGTGAACTAATGGATAGAGAGTCTCACGTCCAGCAGGA